ATGGGGGCTTTACCCCTAAGTTAACCCCTAAACTTTGGGCACCCCGCCCCTAAACCAACCACAAATCTTTTTCAAGGCGTATCAGGTATCTCCATTAATTTGTAACAAAGTTAACTATTCACCACATACGTAAATAAAACAGAGTGACATATAATCATTAATACATACTTATTATGCCCCCTTCTAAAATTACCAGGTTCTAGAGAAACACAAAGTCACCATTCGTTGACTCGTTACAGGAGGCAAAACACATATTCAGTCCGTTCAGGAACTAGTAATTTATTTAGCACTCTCTTTGTCGAGTAATTTAGGGGTGATTTTAGGGTCAGCTGCTTCCAAGCATGCCTAATTCCCAGTTGAACCCTGCGCTAAATGTGGCGCTGTAATCCGTATTATCCGATCTCAAAATTACAGCCGCGGGGCTTTGGAGTGCTTTTGTCCCTGGTATTCGCATTTCCAGATAGATTTCAAGCGAGATTTTGGCTTGGCGGGAAGGGTTGTTGTGGTGATGATTTTCCTGGCAAACGAGTTTTGACAAAAGATGATATTTGTTTTCTCTTTTGTCCTCTTCTTCACACGCACCGCACCGTCAATTCATATCCTGAAGATATCTATGATGGATGGATTAGATTAATCAAGAGCCGAGCCCGGCCTGGCTATAAATGTAAACTTGCAAGAAAGAACTGGAATCCAAACACGCCCCCTTTCGTTTCTCCCACAGCGCGGTCCAAGCCACATAACCAGGTTTTCAGGCTCGTCCATGTATTTCCAGGGAGGGCGCATATCATTTGAATAGCCGTACATATGCATGTACGTGTATACCGATCTACCCGTTCATCCATTCTTCAATCGTCCTGCTATCCCATGGTTGAGAACTGTTGCAACCCTGTCGTAGTCTGCAGCGCAAGCCTGCGTATAGCGCACTCCTTTCTGTGGACGACACTGTTGAGTTCTTACTATTGGTTCAGGGGTAACCGAGAACGGGTCAATCCATCAGTCAAGAGTCAGGTTTGTGGAGAGTTGAACGCGCTAAAAAAGGAATTATTGCTACGTTCACTCGCTCCTTTTCTACGAGACTTATCGACAAAAAAGATAACTGGACTTGCCTTCTTTTTGCCTTCCATCTCACCCATCGTTGAAAAATGAACTGGAGACGCTATCAAGACGATGTGGATTCACGGAGCTAATTATCTCCAACAATTTAGCCTGCTCAGGCCCCAATCCTCAGTGGCTGTAAGGTCACATGACATCGCCTGTGGGTTCCAAGTTCCCAAGGATGTAAGGATGTGGGGCTTGCCACAGGATTTTGCGGAGAAAATGGCAGATGTAAATTGCAGTTTCATGTTCAGGGCGGTGACAGAGCTCATGGATATCCATCGCTATCCCGTTTTCTATTTTTTTTTTTTTTTTTTTTTTTTTTTTTCCGTCGGTTCCTTTTCATATTTCAGATCCTTACCCGATGGAGATATGAAACGTGTATTGTTGCTATGTTGTGAGGTGTAGTAGTGTGTGAAGGGTGATCACTCTTGGATCCTGTAACAGATTTATATTAAGATGACCATTCATGGATCATGGTATATCGATCCATTGGTCGCTGCTCGGACTCGAAACGGATTCATCCACAGAAAATGCATTCTCGAAGAGTATTCCTTCATGAGACGTATCTGTAGGTAGGGGACTTGATAGAATGCTGTT